TTTCTGGCCTTGTTTGATGGTAAGTATTTTCCTACGAGCAGCATTACAAGGATCAATCTCTCCAAATGCTTGTTCGAGTAGGACAAAAATATCATCAACAGATCGGTATTTGATAGAACCATTTCGATTTATGCCGTGAGAAATAGTAGAGTACGCTTTTCCCTTGGCGAAAAATTAGACAAAGTATCTTAGTTTGCTCAGACAGGTACCAGTCCTTGTTTGCAACAAACTTCATATTAATTTTTTGGATAAATACATGATGTTCTGTGTGGGTATCAACGTTATCCGCAGAAAATACATCTAGATCAGGGTGTTGAGCAGAAGGTAGATACAATGCTTTGAAGTTTTTCTTTCAGTGGTAGTAGGTTTTGTATTTAAATCAGAAAATACATTAGAGAGTTCATGATTCTTTTCAAGCAATGTGTTGTAGTCATTCTTATACTGGCGAAGTTGATTCTCCAATAGTCTGAATGAGCTTGCTAGGGAAACGATTTCATTACTGAGTAAAATAGGACTAACTACAGCGTTGCGTCCCTGCATGGCGTTGAGTAAAGATTCTTGGTTTAGGATGGAGTTGAGGAGAGGGTACATGTGAACGAAGTCTATATTCTCGTCGTTGAATTGAAGGGTGTGGTCGTTGTTAGGTAGGTCATGATTTCGAGAACTTCTATCCATTCTATTATTGATTTCATATATTTTACTTCGGGTACATCTCTGTGATAGGTATGCAGAAAATTTAGTTCGAATTACACTTTTGGTACTATTTGAATTTGAATCGATTTGTCAGTATGGGTATAGGATTCACGCGCGAGGGACGTAATTAAAGGTGATTTGGTAGATAATATGTCAGGGGAAGGTCATGGAGTAGATTGACGAGGTCTTATCTAGTGATTAAGATTGTCTGCAAAGAAGAAAGGAGACTCCTACTGAGTCCTGTAAAAATACATACATCGTGAATTGCATATCAGACGCGTTATATCACGTGACAGTAACTTCCCTCAATTCACTCTATCCCTTGACAATATCCTCAATTTTGCTGACGCAATTATTTCGTTTTCTGTATTTTTACAGCCCACAATTTTTGTCCATCGAGGAACTCCAATAACCTTCACTGGGTAGTCATGTCTAGAAATTCAGAATTCCCGGGGCTGAACCATTTTTAAAGCCGCATCACTTTGAGCTGCTGAATATACGAAAACCTCGATGTCATTACTCCTTATTTGTCTTGCGGCTTATACCCCTAGAATATGTGATTCTGCCTCTTGTAGCAATTATTCTGGCGGCAGCATATCTACTCCGTTCTCATGTATTCGAAATGCTGCCTTTGATATTGTTGGCGCCGCAATTAAGGCGTAGGATGGCCGCATCACTCTAGCCAGTTGTTATGGGAGTAGTCGCCTCGCGAGCGAACCACTCGTGACAACTTTATACGATTTTTTCCAAGGCCAGAATCCTTTCCTCGATCAGTTTCTGTTTCAACAGGCCCTTAACCGCACAGAAATGTTCATTGAGCGCACTTGGCACACCTTCCACCCGAATATATAATTAAGAAATAATTTGGCCTTAGTAGGGCCTAAAGCGGTATTACAGCTCAGATATGAAGTGAGCGCAATGGTCTCAATTATTATCTATATCGAAGGAAAGTTCCCAGAGTTATTAATCCCAAATGTCAGTATGGATATCCGTCTCCAAATTTCAAACATATGGTCTTGGCGTGTCCTCGATGGGCGATGAGAAGAGGACAGGTACTTCGAAAAGCAAAAGATAAATCCTATATGGCAATGATGAATATCCCAGATGATATAGAGAGAATTACAAAATGGATCCTGGCAAAAGGCTGATTTGAACAATTCTGGCTTGAAGGAGAAGTAGAAATAGTATATGACAAAAAGATGAGGCGATGTGGACAAGGATAGGACGGAATTCACACTGTATGAATAGTGTAAACGCACTTCCTGTAGGAAACCTCAGAAAACTAAAAGGCACGAGACAGACAGTTTTTGAGGGTTTTTATTGAATTGATTTCCTCCCTTGTAAATATTATAGCTAGATGTAGCTGCATAGGTCCATAGGATACCTGAAAGGGTCAAATGATATCAAAAAAATATTAAAAAGTAGCAATGGAAACTGTGTGCGCGGGAAAATGTCTCAAAAAAACCTGCTGCCCTAGCCAGGCGAGGTCTAGACACCGAGACCACATGAGGTGCGCATATTTATATACATCTCCCTTCTTTGTAACATCCGAGGCCAACTTGATCCAATCAATTATCTTCGTATCGGATGCTGGGTACGCTCCAGAAACTCATCGGATGGCATCTCCTCCATGATCAAGGGTTAGTGATGAGAATGGCTTCGACCCTACCATCTGATCTGATCGTTCTAGTTCTGTTCTGTTCATTTACGTGCTAGGTACATGTCACCCCTCTCACTCCTACTGGAGCTTAAGTACGATGGGGGCCGGGCCAGATCAGGTTAACTACCGTGAAGTACATATATACCTCGTCCCACCTAAATGACTGGACCTCCTCAGATTTCATCTGTGTGTTGAATCATACTGAGCCCAACCGTCCAGAGACCCGCTGTATATACGCCGTAGCGCAAATTCCTCCTCAGTCTTGGCCACCACGCGCCCCAGCCCTTGACATTCTTATTAACTCGGAAATATAAATGTAGTCCCAGATCTCATCGTTTCTCTAGCCTTGCAACTTCATATCGTACCGTTGGGTTGTTGTCGTAACTGGGTATTCGTATAATCCCCTCGGTGTATATTATTTTTTCTTCCTCCTCCTTTGTACGCGTACAGATTCCATCGTGACTTTCCTCATTAGGGCGTTTGTGGGTAGATGATGTGACTAGCATGAAGATGTGTCTCCGTTATTAGATTGTCTGAAAAATTGTTAAGGTAAATTCAGTATGTAGTTGATTATTAATTAATTAACAGGGATGGCAGACGAGATTTCTCTATGTACAAATGCCAAGACGCTATCTAGCCTCATACAACCGACACTAAAGATTTCATGCTGATTTTAACTAAAATGCTTCGTCGCAAATATGTAAGGAGTATGAGAGATTTAGGATGTCTAAATACGACCCCTAGGTAGACCTAGGTCTATTCGTGAACACTATGTTAGTGGTGATGAGTTTTTGTTCGACTTTCTTGTGGATGCGAAATCTCAGCCAGTTGATTTTTCGTCCAAAGTATGGAGTACAACCCCTTTAAGCCGATAGTCCATGACAATAATATTCATCCCACCCTTTTTCGTGACTGAATCTCGGCTTTGGAAAAGTAATCCACTCCCAGGTTTGAAGAGAACACCACTAACAGGTGTTTATCCTTCGTCCTCCCTGATCTGATCGGGATTAACTCGACGACAATAATGTTACGGGGTTGAGCAGATTAGATAACATTTTTATTATTATCTCTACTGAGTATAAGAATATGAAGGACCGACAAAAGCTATGTTACTAAGTTTTAATTTCTTGTGGGTCTATCAAAATAATTAGTTCAATGCATTCTGATTGACTTCGAGGGTCCTGCCCTGTAAGTTGTGCTAAGAGGAATATTATCCAAGTCAAGTGAAGGCAATCAACTACGAGTCATTGCGATAGTAACTTTGACCAAGCAAAGAGTCAGTAGAACTCTAAGCTGTTAGAGCACTCGGAGAGTGCTGGCACCAGAAATGTGGAGGTCAGGAACAGGAGACGATGAATCACTGGACTCTGGATGGAAGCAACGTAAAATTTGCATCAGTATCTCAACCGAAACTCGCTTGTTTGATATCTATGAATGAATGTAAGTGGGGACATTCTTGGATACTTCTGATGTGTTTACTGCACAGCTAAGACTTCTTTGAGGATATGCAGTAACGACAGGTAATTGAAATATCAATCAACTCCACACATCTGGAGCCGGCAAAGACAAATTATTCACCTTCCAGTGGTGCCGGTGTAATCGATCAGTATGCTTTGCATATCTAGGATAGCCAAGAAGAATCGCATCCAAATCGAAGTCGAAAGCACTTACAAGCTCATCTAAAATCGACGACTCATCGTCAATGTCGGATCTATCATTCTCAGGTGAGTTCTCCACCTCAATCTTACTACATCACCTCGCCTCGAATACCAATAATGGCGTTACTCCAATTGCAATCGGGCATTTGCCTCATTAATAACAGGCCATCTCCCACTTTAAACTTACGATGCTATGTAAACCCGCGAGGAGGAAATTAAGTCATGAACTACAAAGCTCTGGTCTTGGTCTATGGGGAACCGGTGCTCTAATTGGGCTTCACATCTTGGCGAGGACAGGCAGCTCGGACGTGGGACGAACGAGTGAAGAGGTCACAAATGGGCATGCTAGGACGCACATTTTTCGAGTGTCTTCGATTTAAGATTTTCTGTGAGTGCAGAAGCAACGATTTTGCATAATGCAACCGACACTCTAAAAATAGGCAACGATGGAAAGTGTTTTGGTCCGTCTCCTGGTCGTCATCTCCCCTAATTAAACTCTGGGTAGCCTGGACACCTACCTCACTCGAGAAAGGGAGAACTGTGAGGCCATATCTCGCGCGGTGGCTATATACAAGATGACAAAAGCATGCTAGGGTAGCCAAAAGTTTTTCCTGTTTTCCCTTTGGTGGATATTACCGGTTGAGGAAGGGTAAAAGTCCCCAGCACAAAGGTCTCTAGTGGTATCAGCGAATGAACCCATTACATGAGTAGTCCAAATGTCAAATTGAGTCATCGTCACATATTGTCGTTGGGGAAGCTAGTCTTCTCCGTGTCATGCTCCTTGAGTGAAGGGCTTGTGGTCGTCACGAATAAACCTTCGTTCATTCATTCCACAAATCTGGATGTGGGGCTTGCGGAAATTAGTGAGCAAAGTAGTGTAGCTGTAAGATAGTAGGAGCAGAGGTATAAATTATCATATTCGCTGTTTCATGAGAGAAACTGAGTGTCCCACTTCCATCAATCAACAAATCTGATGAAAAATAATCATCATGCGCTTTACTTGTATAGCCATAATCTTTCAAGGCGCAAGCATCTGCACGAAAATCCTTGCCACCTACCATTCGAGTCATATTCATGAGGCAAAAAAGGTATTTAAATGTGATGGCTATAACATTGCGCAATGGGGATATTCACGGTCAGAATGGGAGGAATTCTGGGATGATGATACCCGTGCGACCTTGTACGAGAAACACGGTGAATTAGTTACAAATTTTCAAGATACGAGGGTGGTTCAGTTCTATGACGAAGACAACGGCGGCTACAAGTATTTCGATCTCACAACAGAATGGTTAAGTATGAATATTCTATGCATTCAGTAATCTAATCTAACAATCATAAATAGGATATGAGACTGAACTTCATACTATTGATGTTCAACACATAATCGCCATCGACCGGCAAGGTCGTGCATGTGCCATGATTATGAGGAAGACCATGTACAGAATTGACTTTTGGTGCAAAGAAATACCACGAATTACTTATGAGTTGTGTGAAATCGAGCCTTGAGATATTTGCAGCATTGCATTCAGATCAGCGGATCGATTTGAATTTTCCAATTTACTTTCGGGACGAACGAGGGCTTCCCTACCGCCAAAGTAACTGGAGCATGAGATGGACTAGGATGAGTCGGAATTGATATCATTTTACATGAATAACATAGTAGCCCAGAGGGCAAGACTGAACACCTGTACGCGGTGTCCTCTACGAACCTGGGAGTGAAATATCCCCCAGAGTCAACTTCATCCAAATTTCGCAATACCGAACAAGTTGGCCCCCGAGGCAATGTTTCATAATACTCCACCACGTCAATCTTTCACTCCCGACGAGTTTGACTCCTACCTAAGTCTCATCAAGTCCATAAGTAAGACATAGTACATCCTCATTTCAATGATTACACCTCTCATCGACTTTCTCTGGCCTCAGCTGGTCACCAAATACTTGCCCACGCCGATATGTATACCTGCAGGAGAAAGAAAAGCGTGGCGCACAAATCTAGGAGATAATTCTTTGGGATGAACGTGAGAGAAATCAGGAAAAGTTAACAGGATGATCCATAGGATGGGTGTAACATTGACGGATGAGAGGTTCCGAATTTTGCCCGGGAGTTTTATTTGAAATGGCATTGTGCGCGCCTAGCCTTCGATTGCGAAAGTGCAGTTTGAAAGTTGAAAACAAGCTAACGATAGAAATTGCTATGGTCCGCTTCCTATTAGTTTTCTTAATATAATTATGAGGCAAGATGTATAGGTATTGTGGTAGGACAATACATAAAGAAGAATGTTGAGTTTCTATTCTGATGGCGAGCGAATGTGTTTAGACTATCTGAGGATAAATGGATATCTTATGATGAACGCATGGTCTACTTCAGAAGTAAATGCACATGGTTACATACATGTCTAATTTGTTTTATAGCTATGCCCATTGAATGTCAGTTGTACTCATATGATGCGCATCGACATTATTTGATCCTTAAGCCCCTAGTAATTAGCTCTACTCACATTTAACTCAAGCATTAATATTAGCTCGCATCAATACAATCATGTAACATAATCAATGAATCTTGTCTATCAATCCCTTGCTTTCTTGCACAGACTAGAATCATAACAGTTCTCCGGTATAGTTAGATTCACAAAATATCACGTAATGTGTGATAGGAGTATCGGGATCTAGATGAGTCGGGATAGTTAACTGTGTTGTAAGATGAGAAGATTAAGTTTAAGTTTATCAGGAAATGGTTAAACTGTCCTTTGCAGCTATTGATGGTGACATGAATTAAGATGATGATTGTCATTAAGATAGATTTCTCTATTTTTTATTATACATGATTTGCTCCGGGTCATAAACCTCGATTCAAGCAACCAGATTATATTCCTCCAGATCTAAATTCATCAGAATAATAAACTACTCAGTATAATTCTCCTAGTCTCAGCTGTGCGTTTAGGTTTTTGAGTAGGTTTCTAGTAACCAATCAATAATGTTCCTCCTATCACTGTGACAAAGTCATGGTTGATATAAAAAGTACAAACGATGAATTGTGACTATACATGAAGTTGTGATAAAGTCATGATCGTTTGTACAATATCAACTCATGAATGAATTATATCTCTACATGAAAAAGTTTGTACATGACCGGCAAAGACGAATTCCTCACCTTCCAGTGGTGCCGGTGTAATGGCTCAGTATGCTCTGCATATCTGGGATAGCCAAGAAGAATCGCATCCGGATCGAAGTCGAAAGCAAACACATGCATATCTCCATTTGACGACTTCTCAATCATGCAGCACTCATCATTATCTTCTGAGTCCTCAACCTCTTTCTAACCACATATCATCTCGCCTCGACGACCGATGAACGCGCTACCCCAATTGCAAACAGGAGCTTGCCTCATTTATTACCGGCCATCACTCACTACAAAATTACGACGCCATGTATACCTGCAAGGAGGAAATTAAGTCATGATATACAAAGTTAGGGTCGGGGTTTATGGGGGACTGATACTCTAGTAAGGTTATACATCTTGAGGAGGGACAGGTGGCTGAGATATGGAACGAGAGGGGGAACAGGTCTCCGAAGATCATGCTGGGATTGACATTTTCGAGGGATTTTCAACTTTGGATTTTTTGGGCGCCAAGTCCAGGATTTCGGCTAATTAGCCGGGAGGACTTCAATTGTCAATGAGTCAACCGCACTCCCAAGCGCCCTGGATGGTATAAAAGAAGTTGGGCTAAGCTGCCATACAGCAATCACGCTCTGTCAAGACTTTTCTGACATTTCACCACGACCTTCGAGATGGAGTTGGAAGGAGGCTAGAAAGTCAGACAGTGAATTCTCCGAGGTACCCACAAGTCTGCAGCGCCCAGCTGGTCGGCATCTTCGAACGCTTCAGAAGGACCACTACAGTCTCTTAAGGATGCCAAATGTACAATTATCAAAATGACTGGGGTTAGATCCCTGTGCATGTTGATTAGATTGGTTTGGTCCTCATGCAGGCCTATGTCTAATTCGTCGACTAGTTATGCAAGCAGGGGTACTATCCAACGATATTCCGTGAAAGTCTAAATTATGGAGATGGTTTTCAGCTCCATAGGAAAAGCACAATGGTCCTCATTTAAAATTAAAAATTTAAAAAAATCAATTGAATTTGAAAAGAAAATCAACGCGGCTGATCTTTCCATCTTGGTGAAAGATCGCCGGATCGAACCGTCACCTCATATCCGGTGGCTAGGAATCTGGCTTGATACCCAGCTGAACTTCAAGCAACATGTACAGGAATGGACTGGAAAAGCTAATCGTCTAGTCCATTTCTTACAACATATAAACGGAGTTCAACGTGGTGCAGTACCCAGACCTCTGATTCGTGCGGTACATGCATGCGTTCTGAGCACAGCTCTATACGGGGCAGAAGCGTGGTGGCCAGGTCTCACTCAAATAACCACACTGCGAGATAAAGAAGTCGGCACTGGAGTTGGCTGGCACATATCTCTATTGAAAAAAACGATAATGAAAGCTATTAGAGTAGCACTCCCAGCGTGGCGTACCACTCCCAATGGTGCTCTTCATCGTGAAGCGGGAACACCCCCGGCATCGATAATTCTTCAGCAAAAGATGCTGCGGTCTGCAGCTCGTATGCAAACAATGGATTCCTGGCACCCTCTAGCTATTAGGGCGGCTGAGGATCCGAAAGAGACAATAAGACGCTTAGGTCTTAGATCGGGACAAAGAGATCGATTGTTCAGACAACAAAAACGGTACATGACACGCCTACAAATGAGTGTGCGTCGAGTTCCGACAGCCGAAGGCCCTGGAAAGCTTTACTTCCCACGTGGCACTCCAGCATTGATTCCATGTAGTCGAGAATATGAAGCTAGGTCTGGAAGCATAAAACGGTGGTTAGCTTCCCGCCCAGCTAACACAGTCTTCCCTTTCTATGATGAATCATCATCGGGTCCCGGAAAATCATCCTGGGGGTATGTAGTATACCAAGGAGGCAAGCTAGTTGCAAGTGGCTCCGGTCCACTTCCCGGAGCAGAGGTATTCGACGCAGAAGTTGTAGGTGCCATGAAAGCCTTGTAGGCTGCAATAGAGGTAGGAAAAGACTTACTGATCTGCATTCTTCTGGACAACCAAGCGGCCACCCAGGCGCTCGAAAGAGGAAGATCTAACTCCTCGCAGTTAGTGGTGGACAAGTTCTCATCGCTGAGATACAATAAGCGTGTGGAAATACGCTGGATACCCGGGCATGTGGGGATTCAAGGCAATGAAGAGGCAGATAAGCTGGCCAAATCAGCCTTGGGAGCTTCCAATAACCGGTAACTAACCTCAGCTGCGCCTATTCTAGAAGATCAAGATCTAACATTTGCGGCATTAGGGAGGTGGGTTAAACAGCGTAGCCAAGAGCTCGTGGAAGAGTGGTGGCAGAAGTATCGACCGAAACTATACAAAGATCTGGACCTATTCATGCGTTGCAAAAGACCACCGGAACTAGCTTTACCAAGATGGGCGTACCATTGTCTTATTGCGGCAAGAACAGGCCACGGGGACTATGCCGACTACCATCGACGTTTCAACCCCGAACATGAAGATCTAAATTGCGTTTGTGACCGAGAGAAGAGGCCCTGGCATTTTTCAGAGTGCCGACCTGCTTTGCTACGTTGGAGAATCTATGAGAAAATGGCCCCACCTGGGGCCATGGAAATGATAGGGGAGAAGGGATGGCAGAAGTTCATTCAATTCTTAACTACAAGCCGATGTTACAGTCTGCCGAAGAATGAACAGGGTGGGAGGTGACCACGCTGAGATTGTTTCCGACCCGAGAGTAGATGGGTGTGGAAGATAGGGATGCGGCGCAGGGCACCGTAACTTAGACATATACAGCTCTTTTTTATTTCCTTTTCTTTTGTCGCTTCTAGCTTCACTGCCGGTCATGTAGGTAGCAATGAGCTCTCAGAGCATATCTACCCGTGTCACGTCTAAAAAGATGTTAGGTTCTTCCTGTCACATAAAAGATTTCAAATTCAAATTCAATTGAATTTGAATTTGATTTCAATTAACCCGATAAGGCACCCTATGGGTCCATACAGGTGACTGTCTGCATTTTTCACAAAGGAGGAATCCAATCTAGTGAAAACCCCCTGATCTTGTCTGTTTATATTACTACCAATTTGTTCAGTTTTATTAGGGTTATACGTTATGGGGTATATTTATTTTATTTATTTATAATACTTAACGTCGTGCCGGCTAGCTCAGTCTAAATAAAACTTCCTGACGTGTTGGCGCCTGAACAAATCCAACAAAGCAAATGAAAACCAGGATCTTATCATCCTGCGCTTGAAGATTAAATTATACATGGTTACCTGTCACCCTTCAACTCTCATGTTTTTCAGATTGTATAGAATGAAGAATAAATTAAATAAACAATATGGAAGGGGGAACTTAGTTGAATCACATGATTCCCTTTCGGTCAGACTTGTTGTGCTTTTCCAAAGAAACTTGTGACATGCACCCAG